TCGAAGAAAACAGGCCATATTGGACTATTTTTTTGGTGTATTCCATAAAGGTTTCAAGTTTCACTGACAAATATTGTAACCATAAAAAAATGAGTTGAATGGTTAAACTCAATCCGCAATGTGTAGTTTTTGATTTGAATAAAACACATCAAAAGTCGCGTATTTTTTACATAAAGATGGCAAAATCAGGAGAAAAGGCAATACCCATTATGGGAGACTACACTTATTACCTAAATTCGCTACATTTTAATTCACAATACAAGCAACAAATCAACTAAAGACAGGCAAAATATATATTATTAAAGATCATTTTATTTCCGACTTTTGACCACAAAAACCACATGTGCGTACGTACCACGTATGAAAAATATTAAAATTAATTATATATATTCATTGTTACTTGTCACAAATGTGTACAATGTGTTGAATATGGATAAAATTAATAGCTACCTTAGTTTTTAAACTAGTGAGGTAAAAACAATAAAATTTATTATTTTTTTTTTATGGCATAAGCTGGTAAACGAGCAGACGGATCACCTGATGGTAAGCAATCGGCGTCGCCCATGGACACCTGGAACACCAGAGGCGTTACAAGTGCGTTACCGGCCTTTTGGGGATTAGAAGTTTGGGGATCGTTGGGGATTCAGGAATTGGGGAGATTGGGGAAGGGGAGGGTAATTGGGCCTCCGGAAACCTCACTCACACGACGAAACACAGCACAAGTGTTGCTTCACGTCGGTTTTCTGTGAGGCAATGGTATCATTCCCATTCGTGCCGAAGCATGGCTCTCCCACACTTAAAATTATTACCTAAATTCCCATAATAATATATTTAATTAATTTATAAATTAATAAACTGTTTTCAAAAACTGAGGTAAGCTATCATAAATACTTTCGATGCTATAGACCATTCAACAACAGCGGCTTCTCAGGCCGGACGTCCTCAGTACACAAAAAGAGTTACACAAAATCCATGTCACCAGTGAAAGGTTAACAAAACCATACCATTATTACATTTGGATACAAATCAGAATCACAAACGAAATATTATAATGGTTCAAATAAATTGTACCATCATGTTACTAACTAAGGAATAGAAAATAGGTAGAGAGCCTGGACTGCGTATTTCATCAGTCGTTACAATCAATCATTCAAAGTGATTGTTTTTAAGACTCATAGTTGTAAAGTCAACGCTTTCATGTCAATTAATTAGGCACTTTTGAAGTGTCCAAATTGAATTGTTCGTCAATGAGTCTGTCAGTGAAGCTTTCTGTTAAGTCCACACATAAAATATCAGGACATTTATTTTGTAGAATGCATTAACAATTTACTCACCGATGGCCATTTTCTTAGTGCCAGTGCGAGAGTCCTGCACCGTCTTGCATGTCTCCTTGATGCCGTTTGGGCCGATCTTTGTGCTGCTAGTCGAACTGTATACCTGTAACATAGAATCGATTGAAGCTCTTTGTGTGATACACAAATTATTATTTTGGGTCTGAATGGCCTGTCGCATGTAAAATTGTATGTTTGGAAATGCAATTTTCTTGTTGTGGGAACAACACAGGACAAAATCCTAGTGTTTTTCTTCTTTTAAGGGGGGAAAATCATGACTGTTCCCGTCTGGGTGAGGCAGGAGGGAGTGTCAGACTCTTACTGACTAAAAACCACCCCATTCCTTCTCCTGCACATCGAGCCGGAGCCCCGGTAACCCGTTAGGTTAGGGCAATGTTTAAAAAAAATATCAAGTACCTACTATACAAGCTGATTAGTACTATAACAAAGATGAAGATATTTGTTTGTAAACTGTTTGCCATGGCTAATTTGAACTGTAATGAATTATTGCTACTTATTTGTAAACCCCTGAAAAATGTGTTGTGCCTTGTGAAAATTAATGAGTATTGGCTGTAGGAAATTAATGTTAAAGTATAATTATTTAAATATACAACCAGTCTTCATATGGGCACTGCTTAAAGTAACTTCATTGTTATTCACAAAAAATAAAAAATGAAACAAATATGAACTTAAAAATAATAATTACTTGGAATAATTACAAACCTGTGGCTTTCCGCCAGGTCCGCTGGACATGACGACCGTGCTGCTGCTGAAGGAGCTGCCGGGAACATGATGCATGTTGCCACTACCCATGTCTAGGGCAAAGTAATAATGTTCAATGTTTGGTCGACAATAGTTTTACTTGTAACTTTAAATTGTATTATTACACAAACTTCAGTAATTTTGCTGCTAGTCCCCTAGCCAAGTAGCACCAGTTTCTTGAGTTGTGATGGGTTGTTGGGACTGTTATGTTGACAATTTATCTTTTTAAGTTAACTTTATCAAATAATTTTAGTAAATTTTTAGTGGTATAAGAGTTTTTGTATGACATTATGCCTTTTGTCATTGAAGGGGTAGGCAAAGGTGCACACTAGGGCACTAAATGTCACTGTACAATTTACTTTTCACGATTTATATTATAAATCCCACGTAATAGGATGTGAGCCTAATCTATGCTACTACTGAGATTTGTTTAAAACCCGTAATTTTTACTCGATTCAGGATTAGAAACCAAGACCCCTTGCCCCACAGTTGCACATGAAACCACTTAGCTAACAAGGCACTCAATTTTCAGATTACTGCTGAGCCTAGCCTAAACCTAAACCAATCCTCATTGGTCACACTTGTGCAATAGTGAAACTCTCGAATATTTTTATAATTACAGGTCATTTACTAGTAATGGTGTAACATAATAATGATACATTAATAATAACATCTTCTTTAGTTCTCCTGAAGTTATAAATGTGAAAGTTTGTACCACATGTAAAGATCTATGTTACTGGAACAGAAATAATGAAATGAAATAATTGGCATAAAGATAGATCTGTCTGGTAAAACACATGGGTAACTTCAATCCGCACGCAAGCACAGCCCTGGCAGAAGATAGTAAATAATAAACATGTATAATATTATGTCTATGTCTATGTCTACTGTCTGAATTGACTCACTACATACTTATAAAGTTAAACTACCTGCCAATCCGAACAAAAATATTACTATTAATGTAATTTTTCCATACTAGAACACTCACCAGTGAAAAGTCTGTTCAGTGCAGGCATCTGATGAGGCATGAAAGGCATCATGGCGTTAGTATGACGAGGACCCATGATGGAAAGAGGGCCCTCGCCTCCAAACATGCCGAAGGGATCCGCAAACAAGGAGTTCATCATATTGTTCATCTGGCGCATTTGACGCATGTGGGACCTAAACGCATAATAGGTCACAATTAACCAAAATATATAAAATTTTAAATCGCAAAAGTCAACCAATGTTTTTGTAGAATCCGATGTCCGCCATAGCTCGGTGATTGTTGATATTTCAAGGGTATTTCCAAACATAACAAACATTCTTGTTTCGCAAAGATGTAGGTAAAATGCAATTACTAATTAACAGATTCTTACCCGAAAAATGGATCGTCCTCCACGTCGCCCATCAACGATCCGAAGAGAGACATCTTTGTTGATAATACACCGAAATCAACAATCACAGTCTGAATCTAATGCAAATTGTACCCTTCAACACCGCCACTAACGTAAAAATAACACTTGTTTAACGTTTAGCAGAAATCACGTCGAAATCTCTAGCAAACTCTCGACGAACCAACAAACACTTCGTCCGTGTAGACAGTCCAACTTTTTTGAGGCAACAAGCAAAGCAAAGCAAGGCAATTATCACAATGACAAAATATCATAGACTATAAACATCAAATTGTCATTATTGATTTCTTGACCGGAAATATTTTTTTTGCTGGCAATATGTCAATGTTACAACCCTCTTTTGGTGATGCAAAGATTATTCGCGCGCCTCTAGCGGCGAAATTTAGAAGTTGTTTATGAACGAGAACGACACTTTATTTTCGAGTTGAAGTTAAGTACCTACATATTCAAATGGATCACGACGATTACATACAGAAATCTGTTTTTAATAAAAAAAACAGATTTTGGTAGTTCTCTTCTTAGAGAATACACTGCAGTTCGTAGGACAATTTACTTTTATTTAAACTTCACAAATTGAAATCTAACATTTTCCTGTATGGAAAGAAGAAAGATCAGCTGTAAAGCAATTAACCCTCTCAGATATATTCAGCAGTGATATGTATTTATTTACTTATGCGGGTACCCATCAATTGAACTTTTAGAAACATTGATGACTTATGTTAGTGAATTGGCCTATGCTCCAAAAAACAAGAAAATGTTATCTGTGAGAGACGAGAGTTATTTTGACAACGGTAAAAATTAAACAAAATGTGTCATTTAGAGCCATTGGTTTTTGTTTGGCTAAATAGGCAGACATGATCTAAACTTTTTATTAATATGTGCCCCATGCTGTGTAAAGTACTCAAAGTACCTTAGTTATTCCTTGGCCTGATACTAAAATGATACGTAGTAACTTACCTGAATCATTCTAAAAATATAAAAATACAAGAATAACAAGACTGTGCTGAGACTGTGATTGAAAAATGTAAAATGTTTGAAGTGTAGATTATTGACATACTCTCAAAAAAACAATACAGCGAACTTTAATATTGAAATAACTTCTTGTGGCCTAATAACTGAAATTAGTCCATCTTATGGTGGTCGAGCATCAGATAAACATATATTTTAAATAAATCAGGATTTTAAATCAATGCGAGTTTAATAATGGAGTGATGTTGGATAAAGGATATAGGATTGAATTCGAGTGTAATGAAGTGAGTTAAGGATATTAATTGAATAATTAGTATAAAATTTACCTTAATATCTACTACAAATAACCACATAAATCTGATTTATATTTAATAAATAAGTCTTTGACGTAAATTAAATACCTATGAAAACTGTCAGTGTTGTTCTTGGACAGCTTCACAATTTTGACACTACAGGCGCTAGTTAGAATCTTTGCATCACCATTATTAGTTACTACATAGTTATTTATGCCATGTCCACAATCCTACAGATAAACCAAACTCAATTTTTAAGAAAATAATTTATGAAATAAAATTAATTATTGCATTACAACGTTACCTTTTATTCTGTTTTTTGACAATTAACATTTTACCTACTTTAGAATATCTCAATTTCACCATTGGTGCGCTAATACAACAATCACTTTACCAAAACAAACAAGTCACATTGAGGAATATATAGCCAATAAAAATAAATTATATTTTTCACTATTAACCTAGTTTCAGTAACAAAAGATTAAACTTTGTTTCGATAACGATATGCAGCTGGAATATATGGCGCAGGAGTTGCTCCATGGAAAGACCAAGCAGCTGAAGTAGCATAAGCCGTAAAGGTCTGATCTTGTAGGCCGTTTCGAACTTTTGAACGATTTGCAGGCGTCTGAAAGTCATAAATTATATGAAAATTTATTCATTGGAATAGGAAAAAATCCAAGTTAAAAAGTACATAATTTATAAATCGAAAATGGTACCAAGGTGCAAAATAGAAAAAATACCTTTTCGTTATCAGCAGGGGGTTTGTTGGAAACAGGCACATCTCCAACTTGTCCCGCCTCAGCCGCATAATTGTTATTATTGATATTATTATTTGCTGCGCTGTCTCCTCCAACTCTTTCAATAGGGGCTTGACGATTATTATTAGCTTTGGAAATATTAAGGTGACCATCGGAATGAGAATTTCCATGATCAGGGGGTTTAATGTTCTGCTGCGTGTATGATTGGGAGCCTTTATATTGATTATAAATGTGTTGTAACTGACTCCTACTTGGTGTTCCGCCACCTGGACGATTTCCCATTAGTGAAGTTTTGCTCACAGTGGACTTCACGTTGCTATATCTACCCGGATTAGTTCTTGCAATCGACTGAGGTGACAAAGTTTGCGGTAGACTTGGTTCTTGAAAACGATAACCATCTGCCGGAAGCATTTCAACTGGTTGGCCCAAAGTATTGTAATGGTAAAATTTTTGAGGCTTTGAATTCATATTAGCAGGTGGCATGTTTTTAGAAGTATCTGCAGGAAATATAGGCTCTTTAACCATTTGATTTGTAGTTGGAGGCGTTGATCGAGTTGGCGGTGAACCTTCCAGGCTGGCTTTAAGGTCCTCTGTATTTTCATATACTGTCGGAAGAGTACCAGAGACAGTCGCTCCTGTTTTAGGATCCACCATTTGCTGTTGTTGTTGATGTTGCCCCTGATACTGTAGCGAGGGGACTTGTCCTTGAGGTACATTTTGCTGATTATTTATTGGAACACCAGTAAGAGCAGTATACACTTGCTGTTGCGGTACTTGCTGATTTTGAGCTGCTACTGCTCCAATATTACCACCAGGTTGTTGAGCAGTAGAAGGATGTATATTTTGTTGATCAGGTTGTGATAAATTAGTCATCGCCACATTTGTGGCGTTAATAACAGGTTGTAATAGTGAAGGATTTAATTTATTGGCACCATTACCCATCATCATTTTTTGCATAGTGTCCATAGCAGCCTTTTGCTGGTTCGCTGGATTCATCTGAATAGCAATTGCCATCGGATCAAATCCAAGATCTCCACCTTGCATTACACCTGGGAACATTTCGTTAAACTTAGCTATACCCGCACTATGCTGGCCATAAACATTATGAGTATTCATTTGTGGTTGGCCTTTTTGTAATAAGCCAGGATTCATTTGATTGATATTCCCATTCATTGGGTTTCCTTGTAAGTTTGCATTTGCACCAGCGTACATGTTCGGTTGAGACATATATTGAGTATTTGGATTCTGCATTTGAGCTCCTGGACTTCCTTGCATCATGTTATTAAATTGCCCTGGACTACCAGCCATTCCCGAATTATACTGCCCTGGGTTACCATTTGTATTCGAGGTCATATTCATTTCTGGTGATTGTGGAGGAACGTTGCTCATACCTCTTTGAACGTTACCCTGATTTGGAAAATTCCTTGGTTTTGAATCACTCATCATCATATTAACAATATTAGCTCCCATTCCACCCATTGGTTGACCCATTCCACCCATAGGTTGACCTACTTGTCCCATTTGCTGTTGCTGAGAATTTGCGTTACTCATGGGATTATTTTCCATGTTTGGATTCCCAAACCAGACATTCGGTCCGTGATGATGATTCGATATATTATTAGTAGTTCCCATTCCTGGAGACATATGATTAGGAGCTGTATTTCCCATACCACCTCCCATGGCGCCTGGTGCCATTGGGTTTGGATTACTAGCCTGTCTCAAACCCATTTGAGCAGCCATTGGACTGTTCATCACTGTATTGCATGGTGTTATCGATTTAAGATCATCGTAAACTTCTTTAACGACCGGCTGCATCAAGTTATGATTTAAGTAATTATAAGTGTCGGCGTAGAGTTTCGGAGGATTGCAAAATCCCATGCAATTCCTGTTACCCGAAAATGGTTCCCCTGATCCTGGTGCATTATACCCGTGACATCCATGTCCCCAGCCATGTCCATGGTGACAGCCTCGCATGCAACCATCGGGTGCCGGGTTAACAGGTGCATTTTGATAATTGCCGTTGCTGTTTGGGTGACCAGGATTCTTAAATAAATTTCCCATACACCCGCTAAAAATAAAGATTGTAAAAATTAACGACCATAGTTTCTTTTTACGTAGTATAAAACTATTATTTAAAATATTTCTTAATATTGTTAATTCATAATATTCAACAATAACAAAAAAACCTACCAGTCAGCGCTTTGCAGTTGATTAACAACACTTCCTAGTTCGTTCAAAATTCTTTGCTTATCCAAAGCCATTTCAATCGACAATCTACCACAAATTTATAATAAATTTACGTACTTAAAATTTTTATTATATAATTTATTGAAATAAATCAAAAACCCAACTTAAATTTTGGACATAACGAAACTAACAATGTCAAAAGTGTTTTGTTTTTCTAGTAATGGAAGTTTATGGATCGAATTTTAAAAAGATCTCTTTGACGCCAGCTCTAAATCACAAAACAAGTTTATTCTTTGTTTGTAGACCTCATGTACTTTTTGTGAATATTCTAATTGCAGTAATTACAGCATCAAGTATGCAACAATCCTTACATTTATCACTACATTAAGTGTGTAACTATAAATTAATTCATAGTTATAAAACTTTCAATAATAGATGTAAAATTTAAAATAATAAGATAAAATAATGTGAAATTATGACTTGCCATTTTTATAATCTGTGCTATTACTTTAGTAACTGACGTACAACGTCAAATCTCACAAAAGTCAACGTCATCGATGTGCCCATAACACAATGCGGGTAGGGAGATTGGGTTGGGACATGACTCGATTCACTATAAATCGAAGTTCTTTGAAAACTCGATTGTTACGAAAACATAAAAGTCCAATATCAATAGATTCAATTCAAGAACAATCTATTTTTTATAAATTAATCCATCATTTATTATTTTTTAAAAGGCCGTTAAGCTGTGCCTGTTATTTCATAAGACCTGTATGTATTACCTTATTCTTTAACATGCAAATAAAGACTTTGAGTTTGAGTTTAGATCAAATCGATAAGAAATTAATAAACACTGTAACAAAATGTGTTTAAGTAAAAAACAAAAAAATACATTATTTTTCACTGAAATTGCCACAAAAGATGAGTTTGAAAAAATTAGAAATTACAATTTGATTTTCAAACATTACAATTTCCAAATTAAGTAGAAAAGGCTTATTTCATTTGAGTATTTCGCAAACGACACAAAGTAAAATTCCACTATTTCCATTCGTACGGATACGAGTTACGTGTTACGAACGATTGAGAACTTGTTTCGGTACGGTAATCGGTAATCGTTTCCACCAATAGTATCGTTCGTATTCTATTGTATCATTTTCGTTCGGTGTTTGCGCTGGATGTTGGACTTTGTAGTTTGTCGCCAGTAGATTGCCCCCTCAGTTGGTGCTGTGATTAACTACTACTAGGTTTATCTGTAGATACGTCACTCAGTTTGGTTACTTATCTACATTCGTACGCGAATAACACAATTTAGCATTTCACTGTGATCGCAGCAGTCGGAGTCAGCTGTCGTCTTTGTCAAGAGGTAATTATAAACTTTCCAAAATGCCTAGAAAAGTGTTCGTTGTTGGCGTCGGTATGACGAATTTCATCAAACCGAGCACTGGACCTGACTACCCCGAGCTGGGCAAGGAGGCCGTGCTGGCCGCGCTAGCTGACGCCCGCATCAAGTACACCGACATCCAACAAGCGGTGTGCGGCTACGTGTTCGGTGACTCCACCTGCGGCCAGCGCGTGCTCTATCAGGTCGGCATGACTGGTATCCCCATATTTAACGTAAACAACAACTGCTCGACTGGCTCCAACGCACTCTACCTCGCCAAAAAGCTTATTGAAGGTGGTGTCTCAGATGTCATGCTAGCTGTAGGCTTCGAGAAAATGGCGCCTGGCGCCTTAGCAGCTGGTGTATTCAACGACAGAACCAACCCCTTGGATAAGCACACACTTAAAATGGCCGAGCTAGCTGAATTAACAGGTGCTCCAATGACTGCTCAATACTTTGGTAATGCAGCTGCTGAACACATGAAGAAGTATGGTACCACTGAACTTCACTTAGCTAAGATTGCTGCAAAGAACCACCGTCATGGAGCTAAAAATCCTCGTGCTCAGGGTAAGAGAGAATACACTGTAGAGGAAGTATTAAACTCTAGAAGGATCTATGGTCCCCTAACCAAGCTAGAGTGCTGTCCCACGAGTGATGGAGCAGGTGCTGCTGTCCTCATGTCAGAGGAGGCAGTCATCCGCTACGGTCTACAGGCCAAGGCAGTTGAGATTATTGGTATGGAAATGGCGACAGACACTCCTGCTGTGTTTGAGGAGAACAGTTTGATGAAGGTTGCAGGATATGACATGACTGCTTTGGCAGCCAAGCGTTTGTACCAAAACACTGGTGTTTCACCAAAACAGGTTGATGTTGTAGAACTGCATGACTGTTTTGCTGCTAATGAGATGATAACATATGAAGGACTCCAGCTGTGTGGGGAGGGTGAGGCCGGCAAGTTTATTGATGCTGGTGACAACACATATGGGGGCAGAGTAGTAGTGAACCCGAGTGGAGGTTTGATTGCTAAGGGCCATCCTCTGGGAGCTACTGGCTTGGCTCAGTGTGCCGAACTTGTTTGGCAACTCCGTGGCGAGGCTGGAAACAGACAGGTTGGTTAATCTATTAGGTTCTTATTGCTTGGGGGTAATTGTTTCATCTCATTAGGTGAAATAAAACTACATGACAACACAAGTTTTCCAAATTCTTCCAAATTCCTACAGGTATATTTCTAATCACCTTTATTAAGTGTTTTTTTAATTTAACTGTAATTTAATGATGACTTGTTCACTATTCCAAAGTTAGACTTCTTGAATATTTATCAGATTGGACTTTTGAACTGTTATTGTGAATGTTATCTGCTTTATTGAGTACTAAGTTAAGTTTTTATATCATAGAAAGTAATTTAACATGGGATGGTGATAATGCTATCAGTAATTTTTCTAGTAAACACCTAAATTAATATTGAAATTTCACAATTCAGAATTTCTTACAAGAATAGGTAGTATTTTTTAACTGTCATCTTTTGAGTATAATCTGTGATTACTTTCTAAATAAGTATTATGCAACAGAGACAAGATGAAAGAAAGTTGTTTTGACACAAATTCTCTTTAATACACATAATTATGGATATACTTCCAACTAACACTTAACACATACATACATTGATTCATAATATTGTGTTGTTTTTAGTACTATGAAATATGAATGTGTGTTGGTATTGGTTAAAGTCTTTGTGTCTGTCGTAGCTTATTGTGTCTAATTAATTAACTCGTCGAGTACCGGTTTTGTAGACACAATTATAGAACAATAGGTTGCGGTCACCGGTGACCGCTTGGTGTTTGACAGTTTAATATTAAATTAGAACATCGTTATAATGTTATTTGTCTGTACCTATACAAAGACTGATTGAAGATAATAAAAAATATATTAATACTAGTGGTGCAGGTTCAGTATTTATCTAGAAGCATATTTTTAAATGCTATAATAATGACATACCTAGTTCGAGTCAATTATTAGGTCTGAACGCACTTTATCTATATTTATTCTAATTTATTGTATCATAAATGGTTAAATTTTAATTCTTGTATTTGGTAACTTTGTTAGTTATTCCTAATTTTATAGTACAATAATATCATCATCTTTGATATTGAATTAACATTCATTCAATTTCATTCATTCTCGCAATAATATTTGTTTCATAATAATATGTTTATCATATTTTCAAATGGTCATTGCTCTCCCACTCCGCCCCACTCAGTTCATAATATATCTGTTTGTTCAATAACAGTATGTACACACATTTATTATAATTATATATACTTAATAGGTATATGTAGGTATTTGTTACCAATATTTTATCTTATACAGATAGTGTGTACATGACTTCATGCACAATAAAACCATATACCATTTTACTTTGGACAATTTATTGTCAGTTGGGTATCTATCCGCGACTTAAATAGCAATAAAAAATTGTAGTGTAGTCTATGTGTTTAGGGAAGTCGTCTCTTAGTGTCCCCTTTTTTACCGCCGCGAATTTTTCCCGTGTCTTTGGTGCATTTACGAACAGTACACCCAGATCTGGAACAATAATTTGAGAATACCAGAAACGTTTGTTCCGTGTGGGCATCGAAACCGCGATACGTTGCGTTAAAGCCAATCAGCCTTAATTACATTATCTTAGGAACGTACATACTACATATGTTTCAGCTTCCTAGATTAATAATTTGGGCTATGCATTGTCTGTTAGTCACTCAGTGCGCAGCAAGAGTTTCACACTTATTCATCGAAATTTGAAAAAATATATTATATCAGTCGAAATTATGTAACATTAGTACATCTTCGCTATTGACACATTCCACCTTCAAAAACATATTGTATCTAATCTATTAGCTAAGCCTCGATTGATCCCCGGACTTATCATATTATCATAAATTATTTTTTGATAAAACATAATACATGTTTATTATGTTTAATATCTTTTGTAAAATATTATCTTTGAATAGTAACTAAGTGTGGTATGTACCTAGGGCACTGGAGGTATATGATGATATAGCAACTCTCCTTACCTTTGATCCAATTTAATAAGTATAATAAACCTTCTTTGACATTCTTAAATGGGTATCTCTATAATATTTCTAGCTTCTGCCGCGCACTTCGTACGCGCAATCCCGTTTCCCCCGTTCCCGTAGGATTTTCGGGATTTTTTCTGTCTTAAGAAACTTCTCCTGACAATAACAAAGACAACAAAAAAAAAATCTTCAAATCGGTCCAGCCATTCTCAAGTTATGGCGTGACAACGGGAAACGGGTTTCATTTTTATATACCTATATAAATCACCTACTTTCTTTATATGCATCTGCAGCCCCATGTTTCCATGCTAGTAATATCTGCTTACTATCTAGGGATACATTTGTTCGTATGCCCAATTTAAAAATTATAGTTTATTCTGATTTGCGTACCATTTACGTTGTCTATTAATAAGAATTAAAATGTATAATGTAGTTTACCTACTGAATATATTTTCACACAGAACATTAAAAAATTCTGCCTTAAAATATGAGTAAATGAAAGATACCAAGACAGCCATCCCTCTCTAGATTGCAAGTGCTTATCATTGTAAATTGTTTGCCGACTGATAATATTTACGATTTCATATCGTTATTCACATATTTCTACAAAAACACTGCAATTTCTTAACATTATTGTTATTACGTATTCCAGATGTTATTAGGATTGTCTATAATAGAATCATCATCATAATATATCAACAACAAGATGTCCGCGGAAGACCTAACGAGTTACCGGGGCTCCGGCTCCAAGAGCAGAAATAGGAATGGGGTGATTTTTAGTCACTAGGAGTCTGATATTCGCTTTAGCCTCACCCAAGGCCGGAGAAATGATTTTCCCTCTTAAAAAACCATAAGATCCACTGCTGAACATACTTACACCGCCCCCAATCCCTTCTCTCTGACTTCCAGTAGTAGAACATCAGATTTATATCGGGCTCTTTTACAAAGCAAACTTAGCATAGTTATGCGTATGGATAACTCTGTGTCCATAGTATTCTTATAGTTGTTTCACTACCTCTGTGATTTGCACACTGAAGTAAATGTCGTTGTAAGATTAGTTATATCTACATTCGATATGTACTACCTACCCCTTCTGCAAACGATAGCCGCGATTTTACATCACTTTTCCTCTTTAGCACAACCGAAGTAATCTTTTTCTACGTCGTTCACGCCGGCTACATTCAACTAATGTAATCTAATTACTAATTAATTATGATAATTATACAAAAAGTCTAATTTTTCCACATTAATCCGCTTATTTTGAGATAAAGTCTGATTTGAGCGATTTGGTTTAAGCAATCCTTCAGTTTTGTGATTGCTCCTCTGTTATTCGCTGGTTAGTACTGGTTTTTATTTAATTATTAATTTCTAAGTTTAAAATCAGTTCTACGTACGTTTTATTAACGAATTAACTTCGTTTAGACTGGTTTTGTGTACGTCATTGGTTTTTTATTGTGAAATATTTTGGTCGTTTCACCATGAGACCCATTAGTTAGTTGTGGAATTTAATTAGTTTTTTAAAGGTAGTATCAAATACTCACCTGTTTTTTTCAAAAGTGCCTTACTACTATTATTATTAACAAATGTATATTGTCATTGTCTTTCCCATTTTAAATCGATTTCAAAAAAGGCAGAAGTTTTATAGCTATTCATACCAGTTATTCTTAAAGTGAATCTAAATGAAGATGTACCTACATAATATGTTGGTATTTACTATTTACATTTGCTTATTTTATGTTAGCATTGTCAATGACAATGGGGACACCTTATGTTGGAAAAAGTGCATTTGAATAATTTTGAAAACTTCATAAATATCTTATAATGACACGTGTAATGTGTTATATTCACGTTTTAGTAAATGTGACTCCGTAAAAACGTTCCAGAATCAAAAATCCTTTCATAGCTTTTATTTTCGACAAAATGGACCTAATCTTTTGGGAAAGGCAGGCTAATAGGAGTTTAATAGAACACTAGTCAAAAACCAGACCCTAAAAACTGTTAGGACATATTTTTTATTGTGTGCTAAAATGGACTAATTAGTCATAAACATTTATAACACGACAACAAAGCATAAAATGTCTTCCATTGACTTACAATTTCTGATGTAGTGCCGTGATTATTGCGTAGTTGTTGAACAAGCTACATAGAATAATAATACATCTTTTTAGATAAATGGACTATGACCACTTGTAAATTAGAATCGAGACGAAATCAAAGTTCATCATGGCTGAGTTTTTGTGACCTATTTGAATTTACACATCAGACATAGATATTGATGGTTTATGTTTGAATTCGAATCGTCTCCACAATTTTCAAGTCTATAAGGGTCTGTCTTCAAAAATCTTGATTTATAAATGCTTTCTTATAGATGTTTTTTGCAAATTTTTGTGATTTTAGTATAAAAAATCCGTGTCGTTCATAATAGCATTTGTCTCTCCCCTTTGGGTTCTTTATCCGGGCGTTTACCTCTACAATTGACACTTTACGAATCGTCTTTGTGCGTTCGTTGTAAAATTTGTGTTGTATTTATGTTAATACGTGAATATACGTGGCCTCTGTATACGAATTGATGCTAACTTCGCATTACTTCATAGTTCCCTTGACCCAAGGTAGTGTTGCACCGCGATATTAACTGTACAGCTCAGTGTAGCTCGCATATTCCAAAACGAGGTTAAATTTTAACTGACGACGTGGTTGAAATTGATTTAGTAAGTAGACGTTTTAACCAAACAGGTTTACTAAGACTAGTTTAAAGAAACTAACTTTGTTTGACCTAAAATTATTAAGAATTTAACAGAATTAGCTCGTATTGTTAATTTTACAAGAAAGTAACTACAAAACTGGTACATATTTCCTTTCCAAGCCGATGTTAGTGTTATTTAACCAAAGAAATTGGACAAGCTAATGTAGTTTACAGGAACTTGACCGATTCCATATATGTGTATTCTTTTTCTTCTCTTGGCAGAGCGGTCATGATCACGTTCAGGCGGCAGTATTTGTATTTGGAGGCCGATACTGCTTTCCTCACTATCTCCCTCTATCACTCACTGTTTCTTGATTGTCTGGCGCCTCTGACGCTGAATTTCCTGTTGCCGATTTGACTTGATCAGTCCAGCGCATAGGTGATCTGTACTCTGCCAAACTGTACAATGATTTTTTAAATCTTGGATAAGATTTCATAAACCTATAATTATTATGATAGGAAATTCTTCGTGAACTCATTTGCTAATGATCCTCATTTCTTAGAAATAATTTTCCTCTCTAATTCAGCCCTTCGCTAAAAACTTATCAATCTATCTTGTGTACAGAACCAGGGCATTATCTTTACACCTTTGAACCTTCTTATCTACAAGCTTTGCTCCGATTTTAGGCGAATGTCTTTCATAATAAACATTTATGTTGTACAAGAATAATTTAAATTTTAATGTTTGTAGCACCCATTCGAGTATACTTAAGCGTTTTTTGATGTATATTTGGATTTAATTTTGATACATCTGGTGTTTCAAGTGTACTTAGGTCACGCTTACAAAAATCTCTCAGATTAACAGTTTGTTTTGTCTTGTCTTCAATGTATTTTTGTTTGACAATTTTTTAGTTATATGTACCACGGAATATAGAATACAATGGAAGTAGCTTGAAACAATATTTCTGCCAGAACCGGTGTCGCCAAACTAATACATTAATAATTTACTCATACTATAAATCGGAAATTACGATTGGTTAGAAAAAAAAATGGGCGTAAACGAAATGTAAAAAAAATATCATACGATATGCAACTTTAAAACCAGTGCACTATAAATCAAAATAAAAAAGTATATTTTGGACTACCAAGTACCGCCATTCGTCGCTAGATGGCGTTTAACAATGCCATCTAGCGACGAAAAGTGGTACTTGGTTTGAACTTTAACGTTGTAAGAATAAAGGTGATATTTGAATGGCTTATCACTGGCTCGAATGCGGGTCTCTACTCAGATAGTGATGTAGCCTAATTCGATAAAAATAATATCGATAATATGAAAATGTGTTTAAAAAATAATGTGAAAAAAATATTGACTGCGATAGTGTGACAGTATTAAAATAACATAATTAATATGTCGTTGACAACTTTTTAAACGTAACAAAAAAGTGTAAGTATTTATTTACATGTAAATCAAAAACCATTTTGATCGTATTTTTTATTACTTTCTTTTTTCAAAAAATCATTTTTTTTATTTCACATAGGCAATATAAGTAACAACTATTACATAAATTTTTACAAACTTTATATGGATAATGTGATAAATGAGAGGGATGGCGATAAGGATGACGGTGCTGATTTGCTCCGTGAAGTGAAGGTTGCTTCCAATCACGTCGGGGTCACCACTAAAATAATAATAAAAATATAATCTAAATAAATGTTACATTACACTTGCATCGATATCAATCGATAAATTCAATATGTGATTTGACTACATCACTATTTGAGTAGCGTAGAACTGGCGAGAATGTTCTATTGAATGGAATAAATCCAAAATAAACTTTATCTTGAAGGCGTAAGGTTGATTTTGACTAACCGTTTTAGTAAATAATATTATTTTAATAACTGTTTTTGTAAATTGAAATAAAATAAGATTTCTACAAGAAAACAATAAAAATTGTACTTACCGATGATACGGAACACCTCCATTTTTACGATTTTTCGGCTGCTATTATTTTTACACGCCAAAACGGAACAAAACGGCATAGTTGAGGAAATATGTATTTGACACGAGACTAGCAACTCGACGCCATGTTCGAACGAGACTGAACTCGAATTTGCCTCGAGTAAGCAGTGCACAGCTTAGTTGTGGCACGCGTGCTACGCCTACTTGCTACTTCCATTGTATTCTATATTCCGTGATATGTACCTTCTATTTCGTAGTTGGTTATAAAAGACATAATGTTAGCAAAGATTAAGCAAACTTGTAGCTAATGCGTTTCGGTTCTCATTGCTCCATAGTCCATACTGTAGAGGATTACGTGAATAGAAACCATAGAATTACAGTAATAAAAGTATGATGTCTTTCCGACGGCCACATGTTCCGCTCTGCTGGGCTCCTATTGGTCGAAGCGTGATGTTTTATAGCCTATTGCCTTCCTCGATAAACCAGTAGTTCCGGAGATTAACGCGTTAAAAAATTATTTAAAGGGGGGAAAATCATCCAATAACTTCTCCCACCTGGGTGAGGCGGAAGGGTGTGTCAAACTCTTACTGATTAAAAAACCACTCCGTTCCTACTCATGCACTTGGAGCCGGAGCCTCGGTAACCTGTTAGGTTCTCCGCGGCTATATAATAGTAAATAAAAATAATATTAATAGCCGTATAAGATTTATTGCTACTCCCATCTAAGTATGTATGACCCATCTATCAGGTATTTTTTTTACTGATTCTACAGCTAATCTACTACTTAGGTCATAAATTGTATAGTACATATCTATATAGTTACAATAAATATTTAGAACATTATCAGTCTATTGCCGCATACAATATTTTATTAAACTTAATATAGCTGTGACAATGACTGCGCATTTTTGTCGTTCACAACATACATACGTATTATACGATTGTTATACGGTCAAAGGTCTTAGACATTCTTCTATGGCTGGCAATGCGTGCGCCCCTGACTTTGACCGAGAACGTTCAATAATAACAGAAATACTTATGGCGTCAATTTCTATTTCTGATCTCATGTTAATGATTGACGAAATAGCAGTTAAAATATGTTTTTTTGTCCATTACACAGTTTCATTTTAGGACAAGAAGAGAGATCCCATCCCAAGCTTCTTGGGCTCTTCTCATTGTGGCTTCCTATTCTATTATCTCCTATAAAACATTATCATGTCATAAACTCGTTTCTCTTTCATATTATTCTTCGCAAACATCTTTCTTTCTTTATCCAATACTATGTAATACTATGTATGTTTATTTCGTAATTCATAGTTCTTAGAAAACAATAAAAATAAATCGTATGTTTTGTAATACCTACCTAATAATTTCGGTATTCTGAACCTTACACGTACACTTTTATGGTTCACCCTCGTCTCGATTGACGTAAAATTGTGTAAAAACGTCATTTATATTTGTCTTTGTGCGCTGTGTATGTTATTTGTGTATGTATGTGTTAAATACGTGTCCGTCTAACTTATGTCTCAGTTTTATTCGTAAATAAGACTAAAATCCTTGATATTTTAATTGTTTTTGCACAAATAGGTAGCGGAGTAAAATTGAAACCGATAAAAATTAATGTCCTCATTTCATATTTTTATTTTTAGTAATTATTTGCTCATTGAAATCCGGTTTGAATGTAATGTTTGCCTTGATTCCAGTAAATTTATAAAAAAAACTGTTCCTACATAAAAACAAACTTGTCGATTGCAAATTTGCCAAGTGGCACACAAACATTCGCACTACACGCAATTTTAAATATACTTGCATATCTTTTGACTTGTGTACCTACATCTTAAACTGTCAAACACCAAGCGGTCACCGGTGACCGCAACCTATTGTTCTATAATTGTGTCTACAAAACCGGTACTCGACGAGTTAATTAAGCAACAGCGATTACTATTCGCTATTTCCCAACCGTTAACATTGAAACAGACTCAACACAACTATGACTGTGTCGCGATTAGTGTTCGTCTTCCGCTCATTGTAAACGCACGTGTGTCATTTGAATTAATTAGTAAATGTGATATCTTCAGGTGCCGCGCGCCAAGATCGCACTTCAACACAACCTTGGACTTGGAGGAGCAGTCGTCGTCACCATGTACCGCAAAGGATTCGCCGACATCGCGCCCAATGCCGTCGCCGTCGCCGGCAACCCCGAGGACTTCAAAGTCTACAAGTACATGAAGATCCTCGAGGAGGCGATGGCAAATGACACCGACAACCTCATTGAGAAGGTACGAGGCATCTACGGATTCAAAGTGAAGAACGGCCCCAACGGCGCGGAAGGTTACTGGGTCATCAACGCCAAGGAAGGCAAAGGCAAAGTCACATACAATAGCAGCGAGAAACCCGAAGTCACGTTCACAGTGAGCGACGAAGATGTAGTAGACCTAATTTCTGGCAAACTGAACCCACAGAAGGCTTTCTTCCAAGGCAAGATCAAGATTCAGGGCAACATGGGTCTCGCCATGAAATTGACGGATCTGCAGAGACAAGCGGCCGGCAAAATCGACACAATCCGCTCCAAACTGTAAATTAAAACCGGTTGTAAACTGGTACTAGTTTGTATTATTGTGGTTACGGACATGAGGTAGGGGTATTTTTATACTAAACGATCACACACAAACTTTTATACTCAGCAACATGTTGGGAGACTGCTGGTCACGACACATGTGCAATATTCAACTACATGCCTATATTATGTTGTATTTATAATGATTTAATCATTCCAAATGATATTTAAATGTAAATTGCACTATTATTGTTATTAAATCAGATTTTTGTACAAATATTATTTTTTTATTTATAATCCCAGTTTAGTAAGAAATACTGTCACTATAAATATTCCATTCAAAGGTCAAACCTTGCACCATGCACTTAAAATGTATTTATTCAAGGCAGTTTAATAAATTATGTAAAGAACCAGTAAAACAATAAGTAGTAACATCAACAAATATGTTACTATGGTAGAACAGTTAGGTATCAGAGGTACTTAATTATGGACTACCTAATTACAAATTAAAATAATCCGAATAACATGAAAGTCAAATTCGTAAAAACCAAGATTATGTTCAGCAAGCAGGTTCATGCATGGTCATGGTGCTTAGAAGCGCCATCTACCTTATACTTGTAGAACAAAACATGTTTCGGTAGTCTCACAGATGGCGCTGTATTATATTGTAGTTACGATATTTTGTTGCCACTTGGTAGGTGGCGCTAGTATTCACAAATTGTTAGATGGCAAATAATAACTATTGAAGACATGCGAAATGCTAGCAGGTAATAAATAATAAAACCCTTTAAAAACACGTTGATTTTATAAAACAAAATAAAAGAAATAAAACACGTATATTGGAAATCATTTCATTTTATTGCTCCACAAGGTAGGTACTTATAAGCTTTTTTTATTTTCAAGTAAAAACACACTTACGAAACCACATGTTACGAACATGTGTGTGCATAACAGAACCTTTATTTATTATAATCATAAATCTCTAATCTATCAGGTACTTTACAATATACAATGATTTTTCCACTGTCAGTATAAAGAAAAATATTTTTGCATAATCCAATAAACAGGAATGTTTCATTGGATTAGAGGTTCGAAGCAGCAACTTATATTTTCTGATATAAACACACACAATTCATAATCAGGCCGTTTCTCTAAGACATGCCGCCTTATCTTAATACAGTCGCAAATAATGATAATTTTGTTACAAACGATATATCTACTCCATATCCCTGTAAATAATAATGTTTTAAAGTCCTAGACATCTTGCCAGCTACACCGACATCAGGCATTAAATAAAAATAAAATAAAAACAGTGTAAATGGGCAAGACAATAATGATTGAAGAAATATATCGTTTGTAACATTATTTTATTACGTACTTATGAGAGTAAATATCTCATATTTTGTTGATAAAATGTTATGTAAAATAACATAATAAGTCCTCTACTAACACAGTAATAGGACGTTGCTTTATTTTGATGACGTAATCTCTAAAAAATGGCGCCAATCATTCGTTCACCTGGTTAACTGTCAAGGTTGTTAAAATAATTATTGAGATAATTTAATGCAGTTGTAATTACAGCCTTATTAGAACGTTGGTATTTAACGAAATCAATATGCTTCCCTTGAATCTATTTTTTGCAGAATTTAATGCCATTCCTAAGATCATACCACCGTGCACTTCACAACAAATATTGGCACAAAACAAAACAACACTCGATACTTTTTTTGTTAATAATATTATTAAATCTCAAGTCATTTATGATTGTCCATCAATTAATCTTTTCTTCGTTTAGGAAAGGCAGTAAATTGTTTATCAAAGTGACGTAAGTACAGGAAGATTACGAATACAGCAGTGGATGAGCAAGCAAATCAACTCAGCACCATCTAGTGAAACAAATTGCTACGCGTATAAAGCAATACATATATATATTCTTGATACTTTAGTTTTTGCGACTTTTCACGTTAACGTATTTATAAACTGATGTATAACAATCATACATGAGATCACAGAGTACGTGAATACCCTGGCAAATCACCAATTACGCGAGAAACTTTGTCTCATTCCCCTGTCACAAGCCCTAGCTGGCTGAGGAGAAGACACAGTTTGCAGCGTCAAGTATTTTATAGTTTACAACAGCCTGGCATCCATACATAGCTTCGTACCGTACAATAAAACAAATATTTACAATATCTTCGCTCTCACTGCCTTTATAGGAGACACTAAAAAAATAACACTCTTTCGAAATGAAAAAGAATACAACCTACAGAGTTTGTCTTTAGAAGTAGAATATAGTCACGATTAGTCCTTTAGCACCATCCGTATATAAAATTTTGCATCAAGACAGTGAGAGTTCATTTGAAACTTTTCCATCGATACAATAGAATACCTACGCTAATAATTAAAGCGTCATTTAAGGTTAAAAATGGCTTAGCCACGACAATTTTTTCCTCAAGTTTTAATATCGCAAACCCAAAATAGATTTTCATTGAACTATTACTTTTAAAATAATAAGTCATTTAAAAACGAAAAGAAATATTAGTAGAACCAAAATATTCGCCAATAAATACTAAAATATATACAATTAATTACTAAGTTAGCCAAGCCAAAACATTGTAGCACCAAAATTATCCAACAACAGTACTGACAGAAAAGTTTCACAATAATATATATAGTTATACATATATATGAGGTACCTTATATAATATAATGACATGCAGTCCATTTCTAATGTACACTATTAAATGTTTAAAACAATAAGTTATTCTTATTACACTCGCTTACGGTACCTATATTGAATAATATATATTAATAAGTAAATGGTAATTTATTTTTTTCAAAGTGTCTCTGACTAGAGATATAACCTATTCTAAAACTGAAATCTTATTATATAACAACTAACTACGTAACATAGCACTCTTCGAAGGAAAAATATCGTCAAAAGGAAAATCGTTTCGATTTCATTTCTACAATTTGAGCTTAGCCAAAGTCACTCCGTGAAATCATATTTCACAACTCAATCGATTTGATGGATTCTCTTTACCCCGGCGATGTTCAGCTAACGAATTGAAAAATGTATCTTTAACGAGAAAAGAGATCACAAAATAGTTTGCAAATCTCACGATATTTTATAAAATAATAAATTATGCTGCCAATTAATGTCGTGAAATATTTATAATATAGTTTTCATGGAATAAAAGGGGATAGAATTTGACTTAACCAATTTCCCGCCACATTGCGTCGGCCATTTTAGATATTCCCAAGATTATTCTTTACGCGATAGTGACAAGCAAATGGTTATGTCAACTTCCATAAAAAATGTACAACCCTTTCTTACATATCCACGATTCCTTCAGTTCGCTACATAATTTAAAAAACAAAGATGTGATTGGGATTTATTTTACAAAATCGCCTCAAATCTGGTATGAACATTTTGGCAATAGCAGTTCAACTAAAAAAATAGGAATTTAAACAAACAAAAATACTGAATGGTGATGTACTTAGAGAATGAATGTAAACTGGTACCTTGATGTTAAATATTTTTTCAATATTATAGCAAATTGATAATTTAAAACAAAATTAGTATTTCATATGCAAATCCAATGCTAATTATTATCTTAAGATTTAATGACCGCCTGATAAATTAGTTTGTTCGTACCAGATGAAAAATATATATAACTCGAGGCGCCATGAGGTCATAGCTTATAATCACACAAGTCCGAACATAAATCATCCGAAATAAGTGCCCGTTGACACAAGTTACATAAATAATAAATTGCTCAGTCACAAAAAATATGCACTAAATCAAAATGCACTGTTACTGGCAAAGGCTAAAACGCGTGGCTCAAATTTATTACAAAACGTATATAAATTATATTTAAACGTAAAAGTCCGTCAGCCGCATTTCGGTTATCGACAATACCTACTTACATAACATTTCTTTGAGTTCTTAAAAATATTTTAAAAACTCATCACTCGTTAAACTTTTGTTTACGACGTAAAAATCACAAGATTTCAATAAATTAAAATGCTACGAAAAGACTTATGTCTTGGAAGAAAACTAAAGATAATCAAAGCTTGTGATGACAATGTAAAATTACAATAATTATTATTTTATTATCGACCGAACCAATTAGGAATTTAATTTACGGTGTGTTCTTCTACATGTAGACTGTAACACCATGGAGGCTGAATGACCAATGTCCATGAGTCCAAACAGTTTCCGAACACCACCAAAGACCACTTGTTGACAACCAATTTTTTTTAAATACAAAACCTAACACATTACAAGAATCAGGCAGTGATTATTCCACCACAATTAAAAATTATTGCTCGATAAAAAAACAATTTGTTGAATAGAATAGAATCTAAATGAAAATCAGTGTCTTACATAGTTTTTCTTAATTTAGACCAATAAATTTTTATGTACAATGAGGTAGACTGCGGGATACACCCTTATTTAAAGATAATTTTGTTGGCCTGAACTCTACTAGAATAGCTATAACTTACGAAATATTAACAACTGTCCCCGAGCTGCGAGTCGTGTACGGATCAGATATGATTGAATGAAATATTTTTAAATTTTAATTCAGTGGCATAACAATACAGTGGCAAAATTTGTTATGGGTGCAAACCTGGTTAGGCCGCAAGTTCAGTAAAACTTTAACATTTAAAACACAATATGAAACTCTTCTTTACATGATTGCCTGTGCCTGTTACAAACCAGTAAGTGGGACCAATGGTTATCAATATGCCGCTGCACTAAAATTATTACAAAAATCCTGAAGACATAGTATTAGATTAAAACAGGTGGAAGACGTCCACTGTCGGCTATAGAAGCCAGAATAATATTTTCTTTAACTCACAGCTCTAAAGAGGGACAGACGAAAGAACAAAAGTTCCTGTAGAGCTGACACAACAAAATCTCATCGATTAACTATAAACATTACGAATGTGCCTCATTCCTTCTACAATTGGCTTGTGTCTGTAAACAAATATAAACTTATTTCCACGTGGTTTCCATACAACCTTTAACATATAAGAGGTATGATGCAAGTATGTGTTTCAAATATTATTACTATTTGGTATGGCTGAGGTTTTATACAGAGTTATTTATTCAAACGAAAGTGACGCAGAACAAAATGTCGGAGGCAGGTCGATATTACACCATCAAAATGTTTAATGATTTACGTAATGGGTCTATTATATCGCGTGTACAATGAGCTTTATAAGTAATAACGTGATTATCAAGTGATTTATAGTGTAAGACCGCCCACTGATCGTATCTACTTCTTACTATTCCGGAACATGAAGTTTATAATAAGTTTATGTACTGTACACGAGTAGAAGATAACTTAAAACGCTGATATTATTGCTTATTGTATGTACACAGATATTGCAAATAAATCTTAAAAATAACCCTGTATAAATTATGCTTATGGTTGTAGTTTTATAACTATTTTACTATATTATATTATATGTGAGTATTTTGTTAATAAGGTATTGGAAAAGCACAGAGTTGAGGTTATATGAAAAGGTAACAGACGTACCTCAGAATGGCACACGTTGAAGAGACTACAAGAAAAACTGTATATTGTACAAAAAACTAATTTCATAAAACTGTACTTGATATGATTATGTACAACTATTTTTTATCTGCATCATGCTACTGTATAATCTGTGGTAAAAACGATTCTCTCATTGAATCTGCACACCGTGGCAACACCGAAACAGGTGTCGCCACATAAAATTATTCAAAACAGTATAAATAGAAAGAGGTCTCGATCGACTCGGTTTCAAAGATCAACAATATCCAAGTAGAGAAAAATATTTACACGGTGCCGCGTACGCGAGCGTACTTCGTGATCGGGTCAGCACCTCCTGGCTTTGTACTGTGTGTACTGAGACGCAATGTCACTGAGCGTTCATCGCGAGTCACTGAGAGCGCAGCCGGGTGATGACGCGCGTAGGTCAACACGGCGGCGGCTCGGCCTCCTCCAGCTTAGGCGGCGAGGGCTGCGGCGGCGCGGGCCGCTCGCCCAGCGCCTGCTCGCGCCGAGCCAGCTCCACCTCGCGCTGTTCAAGCCGCGCCGCGCGCCGCGCCAGCTCCGCCTCGCGCTCGTCCAGCTGCCGCGCGCGCTCCGCCAGCCGCGCCTCCGCGTCCAGCAGCCGAGCTGCCAGTTCCGAGTCACTGTGCGGCGGCGGCGAGGTGGACGAAGTCACATCGTCCACTGGCGGAGTGAGCGGCTTCAGCGCCACGTTGGGCTGGTAGTCGCGCTCGAAGGAGGTGCAGTCTGCTACGCGCACCACGCGCTCGGGGTGCTGCAGCACGGGCTCGCGCTTGTCCCATGGTCGGAAGGCGGAGAGCGCGCGGTAGTGCAGTGCGTACGGGTCCAGTAACAGCGCGTACGTTGTGTAGTCCTCGCTGCGCACCTTCTTCGGCGGAGACTCCGGCGGCTCCGGCTTACACACCACTGTCTCCACCACCTGGAATCACAACAAACTCTCATAAATACATTGTTAACCAAATATTCTCATACATTTCGTACTCTAAAGTAAAGATATCGACACGATGACGTCAATTGCCTGGCGGCAATAGTCGTGTAATCAGTGCGGGAGCGTTGAATACGATGCTTTCCTGGACATATTTTAATGTGTATTTCCTGGTTATAAAATATATTTACATTATGTATTTCCTCCAGATTACTTGTAATTAAAACGATTTCAGGATATTGTAGTTGATGAACATGAGAAGTAATCACATGCCTAGGAACTCCTCGCATAAATATCCGCAGCATATGCGCTGCACCGCAGTATAGCACAAATCACAAATATAAAACGAGGTGCGGTTCTCTGTGTAAGTATTTTTCTGTCTCCGGCAGTCGGCAGTACATAAATACATTAATGTCAAAGGGTCACATTACTGACGTCAATGGCTTATCTGAACAGCCAAGGAGCGACGAGGACTGCACTCATAACAAATATTCTACATCCTACATCTGTCTAACCGGAGAAATAAACATTATGTAGTGTCTAATTCAAGCTTAGATTTAATGCTCCTAAGCTGGTGTGACTCGACGCGTGTCGTAGCGTGGGTAAGCTATGTATGGATAGTGCTCGTTACTATTCTCCGTCGTTGTGCTGGGCTGGCTCATTTATATCCTAGTTTAAACAAAGGAAAGGAATTAATAGTTGGGTGTCGGTTCAGGAGCCAGCCTCATGTGTGGTACACAAAGGATTGAATGTTTGCTCAATATGTAGTGGGGCGCTTCAGAAGCCATGTAATCTCATGGGCCCTAGAGCAAAGCACGTCATCTCGTTCGAATGAGCACAGCTAACCACATCGCTATCAGCAAAACACATTCGTCTTACATAACGCAGGTGCGAGGGGAGGGGGCAGACGGCGCGCGTCATCACCGCCCTCAGCACCCCCCTGTGGGGGTGAGGCGCGGATGTAGGTCGCGGCCAGGCCGCAGACGACCCCCAGACGCCAACCTCGCCCTGCCCTGACGCACCAAACACTCACACCCCACCGACTAATGCGTAAATGTTAGCCTGTTAAACATTTTGTCTCTCAAAATAATTAGGAAAATAGCTAAACACGGTTCGTAACTTTTCCTACTTTCGTATGTTTTTTTATCAGCTCGGCCGTCCACTAATGCTTCCTACATTTCGTAATCAAAGCGATACGCCGCCAAAACTATGCCTCTATTCAGTTGATAGTTCGTTATCGAATTCCTTGTACGAATAACAACACGAAAAATGTGGGAGAAATAACATGCCGATACGTTATCAACATACTCATCATTCAATCTACAGCTTTGTATTGTTTATTTGACGGGGCGATCGATTCTAGACCTTGTGGCGAGGAGATAAACAGCACGTTACTATCTAAAGGCTGCGTCAAAATGGCGTCGGGCGCGTTCAAAACACTGGCTCCAAAACAATGTACGTAATGAGAGAACGGCGGGGTTTCCGTCGAGACTCATCTGCGGAACGTGTGCTAAGATAACTGGTGTAAGTGGAGCTCCCTCGGCGCTCCGAGCTTCGCACGTCACTCAGTCGCAAGGGCCCGAGGTAGGTAGGTCAATGGGCTTTCTAGGCTCAGAGTAACTTGGCCGCGTGGGTGCGGTCCAACTAACATATTTCGGCCTACTTGCAATTTAGCAACTGTTTTTCTGTCGGCACGTGCCTACATACGGCCTACGCTGTGTGCTATTAATACGTTTTTCCCTAACAACCCCCGATGGCTCACGTTGTACTTTATCGTTACAATAACTACGTAACTTATAGTCAATAGCTAAAAACTATGCGGACTCATGAAGTAGAAGGTCGCAATAACTTCGGCTTCTATTGCGTGGAATAATGTATTGAAACCATGCCACACCGATACTATAAATTCCTTGATAGCAAAACAAAAACATATTTTTGTGACAGGCATTTTTTAATTCCCTTTTGTTTTTATAAAAAATATAAAAGGATAGCTGCTACCGCTAGCAGGCAGTTCGCAGTAACGACCATCCCGAATTCCGACACCCAATAACTCATTTGCGTTTGCTTCCATTACCGGGTTACATAACGTTATTTTATGTTTTGCTTGTGGATAGCAGCTGATACATAGCCCGTACGTTTTTCTATGTAATTCAGATCGGATCAATGTTTAAAGTTTACACGTCAGTGAAAATGGGCAATGAACTAATGAAATTGCCAGGGTTGTCATCAACAAAAACGTTATTCGTTCTATAAAAATATTGTGAGTACTTTTTTTACATGATTTTTTTAAGTAAACAACGAATTGTAATCCCTTGCTTAAGCCCCTCTGGTTATTTTTAGTAATAATGCTTCAACGAGGATTAAAATTTCCCCTTACAATTTAAATTTTAGAGAAAATCAATAAAGCGACCATACTGTACCTACAATAGGTATTTTTAAATGAAAGATTAAATGTTATTATTTTCCTTTCCAAGCTACGTTGTTATTGCATTAAATATAGAAATATTGATCGGTCGGTATAAACAAGTACTGGCTTGTGTACTTAGTTAATCGCTAGCACTAATCGTAATGTAAACAACAGCGGTTATTGATTCACGTCGTGTGTGGCTATCTATGTTTAATATTAAAAACAAATTATTTTATGACCACACGTCTTTTACTACACGAATAGGTACACAAACCTGTGCTAATGCACGAGAGGGCAATCCCAGACTCCGTAAAAATCAAATTGAATCAAAATTCAGTATCAATTGAAATTGGATACTGAATTTTTCCTGTGACTAACGCACCATTTTTTTCTGTTTTGCTGACTTACAATGGCAGACAGAGTGTGTCTACAGTGTCAGTGCACAAACACACGTGCACTCTATTCAAAATTCGATAGGACAGTGGATTGTTACAACGACAGTAATATCGGAGTTCACGCGGAATGGCAACGTGACTACAACGTGCTCCGCAAACTCGATAGCATCAAAATAGAAACCCAAAAATGTGTAAAACGATTTTCGTAAAAGGAAATGTTTGTTGAGGTTTTGCTTTGAGGAATATCATTTTGTTTTCGTGTTTAAAAATATTGTTAGGTCAAAATTTTGGAATAGATACACACCCAGTCTGTTCAGTACACCCACTTTCATTAGTAAAAATTATGTTTGTAAAAAGTGTAACTCAGTGTTAGTGGATCAAAAAAAAGTTAATTAGACCTTGCCCACAGACAAATAGATAGAAAATCGTTAATGAAGTGTTTGTATCACAATGAAACTTATTATAACAACGTAAATAATCAAATTACGCAGAAGATAATGAATTAAATAGTGTCGCTTTATCGCTAAAGTAAATTAATTATTTAGGTAGCGTCCTCAAAATGGAGTAGAGATAATATTTATTAATAAATTTAATATAATTAGTGACATTTTACATAAATGAATGAGGTACTACCAGGCTCTCGATTATATGAACTGCTTGTTACCAACGGCTCATTTCTTATTTTGAACATTTATTGGAAGTCATTACCTGTTTAAGTAATCGGAGTTGTATATTTCATATGCAATATGTGTCACTGAGAGCGGCGTAGACACATCTAAACTTACATTGACCAAACTGTTCAAGCAAGCATCTAGGAACTATCTATGATAAACTCGGTAAAGGAGGGTAAAGGAGGGTAGAGGAGGGCATTGGTACAACCTTTTGAAAGCCACGGTCATCTATAGTTGGAAAACAAAATGTTACGTGGTCCGTCACAGTCGGCCACAGCCGACAAGAATGATTTTAAGTACATTTAGTTTGTTGTCGGCTATACCCAACCGCGGCGGTCAAAAGTTTAACAGTAAACATCTGATGATGTTGTGATCTCAAAGTCAAAGTCAAAATCATCTACTTCAATTAGACCAAGAAGGACTTTTTGAAATTCAACTAAAAAATTAAGAGTGTCTGTGCTCAAGTAAAGATTTTTGGTCGTTCAAAAGGACGATTCCTATGGAGAAATGCGATAATTCCTATAAATACACGTGTCTTATCTACAATCATGTGCATTCTTCCTGGTCTAGATAGTATTTTGCAATGTTTCCATATACGTGTCAGTGTATTTCAAGATGCGCAATTTCGTATATTATCTACAGATAAAACCGTAAATAACCTCGCTAAGTTTTTCGTCGCAAAATCAATAAACGGAGTTTGTGCGACCTCTTTTCAAACAAAATTGCAATCTAAAACTAAAGAGGTTAAATGCTTAATGGCTAATACACAAATTATAACGATATTTAATATATCACGATGATTAGTGTGAATGGGCTGATATATTATTTCCTGTGTAGGTAGCTAAAATAAAGCATTTAATCTCTACAGGCGTTGGCTTTGAAATCCCTATCTGTTAAAGAATCAAAATAATGCTTCAGTTAATCCCCTACATGTACATGTAAGTCATATAAGCATGGGCAAAGACATGACAATTTCAAAATTAGAAAACAACTTTTTTTTAACATCAAAATGAGTCAAAGAAAAAAAAACATTAATTTTCGTATGTTCTTGTGTGCCAACCCTAAGCTACAGTACCCGTCAATGGACGGGCAGATTGTTTAGACAAGATGCGTAAGACATTGGCTGAGATGGCTAAGATCCATGAATCGACTCCGTAAATCTTTGAAAAATATTTACAACATAACTAATCTTCACGCCTGTTTTTCGCCGAACAGCTAGGCAGAGTTTTACAAACAACACTCACTCTTTGCTAATTACATGCTTAGTACGATGGTCTCATTGCCACGAAAACAATTCCTGACTTCGTGCTATTATTTAGAATTTCAACAGTTTCAGTAGTTCACACAAATTGTAATTTAAATGATATTGGATAGTAGGTACCCTGTTGATTAATCACGTCAGACGAATATTTTTTGAACCAATAAAATTAAACTTTTAATCCGAGAGATAGGAAATATGAGCCTTTGGCCGAATCGTCTATTAAAAATAGTCTATGATCAATTAACGTCAATTTTGTTATTTATGCTCGTGGTACCGTCCATAAAATATATTATTATTTGCATATGTTCCGAAATAAAGACAAGATAAAATTATATATTTCCAAAAACGTCAGTTTCCGAGCGATACGAATAAATCATTTTGGAAATTGATTTAAAAAGTTGCGTCCAGTACAGCTGGCACACAATAAATTGACAATATACAGTGGGTATTCTCACAGGGTTTGGCCAAAATTTCTCCTCATTTTTTAATGTTTTTTTTATGTGTTTTGTGTGGCAGCGCTATTCAATTTTTTTCCTGTTACCTACTTGTGAAATAGGTTCTAATGAGGCGTTAAATGTACCTTCAAACTTAAACATTTTCGTTTAAAACATACTAGGAAGAAATTACAATAGGAATAGATGGTACCTTTGTACTTTAATTTTATATATGTGTTCTCCTTTATGTTGTATGTGTGTACATAAATAAATAAATAAATATTATATAAAGTCTAATCCAATAACTACATAATATTTCATCACACTATTATCTACACACAGAACTACTTAACACTTTATCATTGCCGAATATTTGCTTGTGTTTATCTACCTATAAATTAAAAGCCGCGTAACTTTTTAACAATGGCAACCCTACCAATATAACTTTATGGTAATGTCGCATGATTAATCGTATTAAAGTTTATCTAGACAATTTATCTCCTTAAAGTCTCGTTCGACTATCTACGACCTTCGTCTGTCATTGGATTCTCGCAAATATCTTATTATGGAAATGTCTGACAAGATAAACTTTGAGGCACGTTATAATGATCATGATCAAAAATGTTATTTTAAAAATAAATAATTATTGTCTTTGGGTATGTAGAAGAGAAAATTGGATACTTTTCTTTCCTCTGGCCCTTTCCCAACATGGCTGATAAGGGTATATATGTATATTAAAAGTCTATTTTTTGGCCTTAACAACTAAAAGTTCAAAATATTTCCATGCTCGACACAATTTCAAAATTCGCATTGCCATGGGCAATAACAGAAAAGTCTAATTATCTATTTATAATATGATATGATACACACAACATTTCGTAAAATAATTGTATTCATACATTTTACCATGATTTTTATTAAGGCGGAACATCTTCGAATCATTTCTCCCGCCCTTAGTGTCAGACTCTCACTGACTAAAAACCACCCCATTCCTACTCCTGCACTTCGAAGCCCCGGTAACCCGTCAAGCTCTGAAATAGGTAATTAAACTGTCAAACACCAAGCGGTCACCGGTGACCGCAACCTATTGTTCTATAATTGTGTCTACAAAACCGGTACTCGACGAGTTAAATCACATACATGGACTACAAAAAAGATCGTTACGTAACTTACGGCCGTTCCCAATATTCTATCTATCCCTTGTTTTGCCCTACTGGAGATAGAAAAATCTATCTATCTTTAAATTTGTCGTCTCAATAAACTTACTGGCGATAGGCAAACTAATCTATGGTTGTCATTACCTGTGGGAGGACGGATAGGTTATCTACAGATTGCTTTTACTATGAAATTGACAGTTAATGCGTCCCAATAATAACAAAGGTGCTATCTGTCAGTGACTTTGGTTATCCCTAGTAGGCTTTAGCTCTATCGCAGAATTTTGAGGGATAGGAGTATAGTTATCAGTGAAGATCAGTATATATATCTTTTCTATTTCTTAAAAATACATCAGATTTAAACAAAAAATCATTTCGGACTCCAGTTCAAGTAGTAGTTCAAGTGCTATTGATATTTTGAAACAAATAAGGAACTGGGAATCTGACGAGGACGATGTGGTTACCACAACACGACCATATCAAGAGCGTGTTAATTACATGTACAGATATGACGATTACGAGTTTGTGTATAGATTTAGGCTAAGAAGACTAAATTAGAGAATTTTATACTTGTCCGTTATTCATACCTACATCTTTATTTTAATTAAGTGTTCCAGTGGACGAGAAATGAGATAAACATTGAATGTGCAAAATGCATAGTGTAATAAAAAGATGGTTTAGAATAAACTGTTTTATTTTATTTAATTATATGAATTATTATTGGGTTGTTTCTCCTTCTCCAGTATATCTAGCTAGAGTTTCCGTTTCTTTAATGCATGTATTTCTTTTCGATCTGTTATTGACTCATATCATCTGCATCAGCTCGTCTTTTCTGTTTTCCTAGAAAAATATTATTTATAATTATAATATTATTTATAGTGTATTATTCCATTTTGCTCCTCACCATATAAAAGTTTTATAACTAAACAGTATTGAAAAGTAAATAGTCATAACCAATACCAAACCCCAAAAATGAAATATACAAGAAACTATCTGTGATACCTAATCCTCCAAGTCGCATCCTTGAGCTGGTTATTGCTGGCATTTGTGACTTTGCTGAACATCAATGGATTTGCCTCCACCAATTGTACCAGCTGCATTACTTCTTCTTTCGTCAATAGCATATTCTTTTGCTACAATGAGTGCACCAAACACGAGTTATTAGTCACATGTATGTTCATGCAAACAACAAAAAATATTCAACAATCCAAGTATAAAAGTTCAGTGAAAGCCATAGAACTAAACTTCAATAGCTTCAATCTAAAGCTAGAAAAGCACAAACTGTAATACTTACTGAGCTCATTCATTATATATAACAAACAATTCTTTGTTATATTATCATAATTTATTGTAAACAAAATCAACAAACAACAATGTCAAATGTCAATGTTTTAACAAACACGTTCCGTTACAAGTCGCGCACTCATCCAGTCGCAAACATGGAGTTTTCGTTATATTTAACTTAAAAAAATATTGTTTACTATAAAATTTGTGCAAAATATAAGGTTTCGTTAATTAATTCAAAATGTTTGTGAAATAAAAATGAAAAGATGCTTTGAAAACATTATTGTAACTTAGTGGCACTCTGTGGGGCTCTGCATACAATGAAACACATGGGAGGGCTCAGATAGGCACCCTATCTACTGATATCTAGAGATAGCAAAGACACATTTTAGTTATTGGGACGACATCGAAAGATAGATAGCTTTTAACTGACTATCGAGGATAGCTATCTATCTTTACCTATGGATTGAATATTGGGAACGGCCGTTAGTCGCTAAAAAGATGCTTCATCTTAAAACCAAAAAGTCTATAAAACAAGCATATTGTTCATTTACCAAATATAACCACAGAACATGAGAAGGTAAGTTCTAATATTTCGCTGTGAACTATTTACCGGGAGAGCGTCGTAATTCTTAGTTGTACGCAACAGCTGGGAAAATCGATCGGTGCCCGGGTAAGCCTGCCCGTGGAAAGAGGGCCAATTAAAACATCCCTAGTCTTTCATATTATTTTCTCCGCAGTAACCAGAGTCGATAGTTGAAGCCTATATAAATCATCTAATAAAATACGCCACTGTTTCTTTATCATTCTATTTGTTGTTGCTTCGACGAATATTGCGCAAAAATCTATAAGTAAAATGTACTCGGACGATACCTATGTATTATATTTGACTGGATTTTTTATTATCATCTATAATTTACAATTATTTTCCCTATCGCACAATAATAAGTTAATGTACTTTGATCTCATAAAAATACGAATAATAAGGTATATTTTGACGACAGTCTGTAGTAAAGAATAAAGGCGTTATCAACAGATTTTATTTTCGATGGCAGTTGCCATAGAATCGTCAGACTTGTTTATTAAAAAAAACTATTACGCGTTATCAATTATCAAGTTGGCAAATCGATATCAATACAAGGTAACTCGATATATAATACGTGTACATTCTAGTAATTCCGTCCTGATATTACAATATTCTCCAGATTATTTCTCCAAATACATTTAATTTGCGAACTATTATGTAATTCGTCGCATGATTTCCAAGCAGCCAGCACTCTATACATAGACCTGCTAGTGTTGCCATGACGACTCAGCAATTTTCTGGCTGAACATGTAAAAATATCTATTACGCAAGCCGCCGACGCATCGCACCCAGGGGTGGAGGGGCCAGACGCCACCTTGGAACACCCCTCGACCGACCAAGGTCAATCAGCAGTCTACGAAGCACTTGCTAACCAAATTCCAACTATACACCCCAGTCCCACGATTCAGTTCTGAATGCTAGCTAAATACTAATTTTGCTCGTTCAATTTTGAGTCGTCTCTGTTTAGGAGAAGGTTGAATTTAGTTCACGTGTCGACAGGGCGTGAATGTAGAGGTTGTAGTACTAGTGTAGTGTAGTCCGACGGGCAATCAATGAGTTTCAGCCTTGTTGTATGAATTATGTATAGGAACGGGCCCGCTTACGTGACATTTTAGTTGAAAACAAGCTCTGCGCTGTACCGCGCCGCACTATGTTGACGGAAACCGGGACACCGTGTCCTTTACTACACCGAACCTACTTCTGAACACTTTTATTGGTCCACAGGGAACATAATACCTTTAGAAAACACTTTAATGTTATGTAACCGGTTAGTAACAACAAAACAATTCATTTGTAAACAGTTTTCCAAGAGATAGAGCTCACTAAATTGCTATTAATTAATTAAATGTCATTACTATTCAAAACTCGTAATTCAATAGTATTCTAAACCGATTATAATTCGCTACACACAGCCTAAAAGCCAATTAGTATTACTCTGCACGGAGTCACTTTGGCATAAAACGAGAATATTTTGATATTTTCGAATAATTTTTTACCAACAAGTATTTACACCGAGGTTTCGAACTCATTATTGATCAAGGCTGATCAAGGTTAACGACGTAAAATAGAAAAAAAAGTAGATTCAAAACATCGCGTTCCAATTTTAAATAATTACTCAGTGCATTACCGTCACGAATTCTGCGGCCGTAAAAAGTTAGAACGTAATGGCGATTGCATTTTACTGTGAATTTTGTATTAATCTGTATTCTGTGAGAAACTGGTTTATGGCTATGGTCACCCTTCGTTTGTTATCTGCATCAGTGAACTGATGGTGATTTAGCGACCGTGGACAATCGCCGTGAGAGCTTTAGCTACTCAATTTGACCAGTATTGTACTTTCACCATAAAGCAAGCTTACTAAAAAAAAATAATGAATGTGTATCTGTGGCTGGTCCCTCTATACCTACTCATGTAAACCGAAAATTAACGAACCCCTAATATTAATTTGAAATGCTAATCGGGGAACATTTCACCAACTTTCTGCTTTTTCCGATTTTATTTCAACACCGGTCAAAGCCAAATTCAATTAGGTCGGCAATTTGGCATACCATATAATTTTCATTAAATTATCCCGTTACATTTTCTTTTGTCTTTTATAAAGGTAAAAAGTTTCGTGGAATCTGTTCGAGATTCGATTGTATACTTTTGTACAGTTCACTAATGGATTAAAATTGTATAAATTTCCCAGGAAATAAGTTTTATTCCGGTGATTTAATCAGTTACTTTCCCTGGCTGGACTGGTGCCTCGCATCTATTTGAAGAATTTGCTGCAAGTTTCCTGTTTCACTTTTACAAGGAAATAGTTACCCATCAGGCTTTAGATCGATATTGCGGATCCAACTAAAATTTCTCTAAAGCGTCTCAGTTCAAAAAAATAATATCTAAAGTATGAGAAAACAAACTATTAATCGTAGAAGGTTCTCAAAGAGGAAAATAAAACTGCCATTAATGTTGTATTATTAATCGCAGTGTAAATGATTAAAAACTAATGCTTGGTCGCAAATGTCACGACTTTCACAAGACCATAGACATAATGCACATTTTTTTATAAATGCCACTCGTGCTTGGCGATGATATCGATCAGCCTAATGGATTACAGGTTATAAATGATCGCGCACAGCCCGAATGACCGAAGAAGGATAGTCCGATCTCAAGAGTGCCACCAGATTAATTGGAAAGACCTTGGAAAAAGACTCAATTCGTTTCTATTTACTAAAATAGAATACACTAAGTGGTGAGACGATGCAAAATGTATAAAAATAGAACAAATAGTACATACCTACTTCCTTATGTAAGAATAATAGCGCAGATAATAATTTTATTCGTTTAATAACCCCTGCACGCGAGTACGCACGTTGTAATAGGCCATCTGTTAAAGAATTGTGTTCGAGCCCATCGTTTATTATGTAAAACAGTATTACGCCGTCTTGTTTCACTAATGTAAGTATTACATACAGCCAATCTTTAAGGAGTCTTGTTTATGAACATTAGACGCAAAGTTATAAATTGCCGAAATGAAAATTCTGCCGCCAACGCCCTAATCAAGGTAAAATGCCTCCCCGTCACACACGCCGCTCCTCGAAATGAATCCATACAAATTGCGATGTCCTATCATTGAAGAATGTATGTATACAGTTGGCACTGGCAACATTAAGAGGGCCGAGGGCCCAATCGTTCCCAGGAACCGATTACCAGCTCTCGCGACCGGGGGCATCATCACGACACTTCTCAGAAAGACAGCAAACAGATCATTGAGGGAACATCGTTATTAGGGTTTCACTTACTCGTGTAATTGAACTTTTTACACGACACTGATGTGACAGGATCCGTAAAATTATAAAATACATAATGTCAAAGCAATTTGTTCCGTAAATGTCAGTGCGTTGCCCTGTTTACCACACTTGAGAAGAGAAGAAGGCTTTCAATTAATTTAAATTAAGTAAATAAAAGAGGAACGGGAACAGTGTTTTGATTAAATAATGCAAAGATGTTTATTGACATTGTTCAATTTATCACATTATAAATACGGATCGAGTCAGGCTGGTTCGAGAATCGCAACAGTCATAGGACATGTTTAGTAAATGACTACCAGATCACAACTAATGTGTTTTCCAATCTGTCCAATATATCATCCATCATTTACTTTACACCTTTTGGCGTCTTTCATCCTATAATATTCACAGCGGAAGATGACAGTCACCTAATTGAATACGTTTATTTCTATCACAGAAGCCGGTGAGTCAGCCAATCAAGAATTAGCAATAATAACTTGCGGTGCTGCGATTGGCCCGAAAACGAAAACAAACATGGAAGTCGAACCTTCCACGTGTCGACTCAATTATCACGGTAAACAGAGACTGTCATGCCGCGTAAAAATTTTATAGTGCCATATTTTGCATACGACTCCGTAGAATGTTAATCGTGTTGTTTTGACGCTCAGGCTATATCATACGTCGACCCGGCGCCATTTTGACGGATGCTTTCCTAATCTGAAAGGACGAGTAAATGACAGCGTGTCCTATAAGTGCGTTGGGCACTATAAAAAGGCTGCTAATTAACCAGGTCGATGTCATCGCATTCTTTTGCCCACCACCAGATCCTTTAGTTAATTGTAATTAGTAAACAATCTGGTAAAGGAGGCTAAGTAATACATATGTAAAGGGAGACCATTGTGTACTAATGAGCTTATCAACTTAAGAATTGGAACTTGAATATGATGAACATGAATATAATCATCGTGATGGTGTCATTATGAAATCGACAATGAAGATTAATGGATAGTATCGACAGTTGTTGGTAAACCGATGCGGAAAAGGCAAGGCAAGTACGTGCCTATTTAAAAAAATAACGTGACGAGGAAGTGTGAACAGTCCCTTAATACACTTGGGAACATTAAAGCGGTCTGTTT